ATAACTTACTATTTAGAGGCACTTCTAATTCCACAGCTCCCCTCTGCTGTGTCTACCAAGAAAATTATGGAAATATATATATAACCTAAACTGGAGTGTGAAACACACATGGAGGAGAGGGTCAAAATCTGTTTAATTATAGTGAATGATTTTTGGAGTTTCTTCCCTTAGTCCACAGTGCCTCTCCCCACTGTTGACTGGGGATATTCCCAGAGATCAACAGGGCATTTTGTATTGTATTTATTTATTTTAGTATCTTATTGAGGACTCGATGAGAGAGCCTGCCTCTCGAGGCCCCACTACATCTATCCTTGCTTTCTCACCACTCTGTCTTCCTTTCTGAGGTTTCCCCCTTCTTCATCTTTCTTTCTTTTTTGTTCTTCTCTGTTTGCTTCCCTGCAGCAGCTCCCAGTTCACACCCCCTTGGGTTTTACTCCCAATTGCTACCTGATTTTTATTCACTAGTAGGATGAGTAGTGGAGCCGTTAACATTAGTAATTAAGTGTTAGCAGCAGGTTGAAAAGCCAATACTCAAATCAGACAAATGTGGGTAAGGAGTTTACACCACTGAGGCATTACTTCAGGACATTTGGTGAGACATTATCACCAGTTACACTTCATAAGCGTATCTGGGCAGGTGACATAGCTAGCAACTTATATTTGTCAATGGAAGCTGGGATTCTCCAAATCCTGAATAGGTCAAGGGAGCCACAACACATGTATTCATCCAGACTCTAGCCTCTAGGCCTTAGGCTTGAGAACTATTTAAAAACGGAAAGGCTCCTGCAGTGAGATTCAGTCCAAGAGCAGCAATGTACTATTTAGTGCAGAGGTGTGCCAGTGTGCAGCTAGCTGCAGTCATTGAAGAGCCTCTGGATTGTGGTGACTGAAATGCATAGAAGTATATAAAGATGCGAGGAAATAAAATACAAGATGTTACAGATGTTAAAGATGTAGTAATAGTATTTGACCACCTCATTAAAGACTCATTGAAATGTATGTGTACTAGGAAACAGAGTTAGGTTTAACTTCCCTATTTCCTGTTTTGAGGATTTGTCAACTTTTAAGGCCCAGCAAAAACTACCAAGGTAATAGAAACTATCCTACCATGTCACCAGGGCTGGGCAAGATAGCAGTCACTGCAGCCAGTTGTGGGAAATGCGTGAGGCCCTTAATATTCACTTAGTTCCGGTTTGTCTCCCCTCCCTCTCCTCCCATAGCATTTAATAAACGTGTATACTAAATTCAGAAATTGTAATAAGGCATATTGTTTATCCATACGGTTGGATGATATAAGCCAGTGGTGGTCAACCTTTTCATAATTTCATAGTTTCTCGGGTCGGAAGAGACCTAAGTAGATCATCTAGTCCGACCCCCTGCCATGGGAGGAAAGAGTACTGGGGTCAAACGACCCCAGCAAGGTGTTCATCTAACCTCCTCTTAAAAACCCCCAGGGTAGGAGCCTGCACCACTTCTCATGGAAGTTGGTTCCAGATCCTAGCCGCCCTGACCCTCCCTGCTTTTGGCTGGAGGGAGGGTCAGATGGGCACTGCCTGATCCCAATGTGGGCCAGACATGGCAGGACCCCTTTCGGCCATGTAAAGGGGGAGGTGGGGACATCTCAACCCTAATCCAGCCATGTGGAGGAAGGGGGCCTGGGCTGGCCACAGCTTGGCTCTGCAGGGGGAGCTGGTATGGCCCATCCCTGTAGGAGGAAGGGGGCATGGTTTGGCCCTGACCTGGCAGGGCAGAGAGGAGGGGGCATGGCTTTGCCTGAACCAGCTGCGCAGGGTGAGGGGTCATGGCCTGGTCCCTATGGGGGATAGGAGTTGTGGCCCAACCCCAACCTGACTGAGTGGAGGGAAGAGGGTGTGACCGGGCCCTGCGGTGGGGGGAAGGGAGCACAGCCCAGCCCCAACCCAGCCATGCAGAGGGAAGGCAGTACGGCCCAGCTCTGCCCCACCCTGTGGAGCTAGGGATTTTGGCAGCAGGAAGGGATGGCAGTACTGCTACTGCTCCCCTGCCACCAAATTTCCCACCCTATAGGGAACCCATGGGCCAGATTCCAAGGCTCTACAGGCCATATTTGGCCCGCAGGCTGGAGGTTAAGCCCCCTGATATAAGCATATTAATTAGAGGTGCATCAATACATCAGTCCGTATCGTATCGGGACCAATAAAAGGAAAATTGACATTATTGGCAATTGGCTTTTTTGGTCTAATATTGCCAATAATCTTGCTGACAAATGCCTCATGCATGAGCGCAGCCATAGCATGCATGCAGCCAGCCTGGCAGCTCAGAGAGCAGCATCTGGCTGGTAAGTCTGTTGTGTGGGAAGGGGCACAAGGGGTGTAGATCCAGGCTCCCACAGTGAGGCAGGGTGCAGGACAGAGCCATGAGCAGATCATGGGGGGACATGGGGAAGGGGCTCCCACAGCTCCCCCAGGGGAGTCATGGGGGACATGTGCCCTCCGGATCTGTGTGCAGGGTGAGGGCAGGCTGGTGCTGCGGGCTGGGGCTGGGAGCAGCACCAGATTCTTCCTGGCAGGTAGGGCTGAGCTGGGCTGGGGCTGCGCTTGGGGCAGGTGGTGACAGCAGGACTGGAAGGTGGTGACAGCAGCACTGGGAGTGGGGGCAATGGGAGGAGCTACAGCCACCCCAACATTCTCTGTATCCTCCCCAGTGCCTCTGCCCACCCCAAGCTTAGACCTGGCCCAGCCCCTTCATCAGGAAGAGCCCAGCACTACCCCTGGTCCCAGCCCGCCTTCGCCCCATGCACAGATCCAGGAGGCATGTGCCCTCCCATGCCTCCCCCAGGGATGTGTGCAGTGGTAGGAGCTGGCCCCCTCACCCCACCCCCTGACGAGCTGCTCACAGCTCTGTCCTGTGCCCCACCGTGGCTGGGTAGCACCTGCCCCAGCCCCACTCTCTCCCTCACCACTATGGCCTGGACCTGCGCCCCCACATGCCCCTTCCTCCCCCACAACAGACTTACCAGCCAGACTCTGTTCTCCGAGCTGCCAGGTGGCATATCGGCAATCAGATCGGTATCGGCCAGTATGCCTCGCTAATAATCAGCCATCAGTATTGGCCCAAAAAATCTTTATTGGTACACTCCTAATATTAATATTTCTGCTTATTTCTATTGTGGAAGTGAATAAGAACCAAAACATGGACCAGAACTTCCTTTTGTTACGCATCATACAAACTTATAATAAAAATCATGGTTCGTGTCCCAGAGTTTGCTATCTAAGTACCTAGGTAGAAGCAAGCCAATGGTGTGAGGAGGACTCTCAACTTGCGTGGAAGCCAGGAATTGAGAACACTTGCCAACTTTCTAAATTGGCTCCTAAAAGCATAAAATTAAAATGGATAAGTTTTCTAAGTGCTTCTAATACTTCTTCCAGCATACATTTATATTTCATATTACATTTCACATAAAGAAGTTCAAGAGAGTGAAATCTTGCACAAAACACACTGCCTTCTCTTTATTGCTATAGTAGAAATAGTGCTTTAGTATCCTTCTAGTGGATCGGCAAATCCTACCCAGATTAGAGAGCTTTCTTGCAAGCTACCCTGCCAGTGAGTTGGAGCCAATTGGAACAACCTCAACTGAAGGTAGAGTTGGCCCAGGGTCAAATGATTCAGTAGATCAGGTAGCTGGCCTTTCACTAGTTTTATGTCCAGCAGGAACAAATCTGGCCTCCTTTATCGTGGGCCCTAGGCAGTGTGCTCCAAGAGGTTGAACCTGACCCATATTATGTTTTTGTTTGGTTTTTTTAAAGTAGTATTAATGTTAATGACCTTGCTTCAGCAAGGTATCTAAGACGCGCAGATAAACTCACTGAAATCAATGAGACTGACTGCCTCTTTGAAGCCAGGCTCATGCTCCCGTACCTTGCTGAATTGGAGCTATTGTTCATTTCTTTACACCAGCTCTTTTGTACAGTTACCTCTATAAAAAATGTTTTTTATTGTGGGGGAGGGGGGTTAGAATGTAAATTGAAATATTTTTCAAAGAAAAGATTATACTGAGTAGCCCTGCCTTGAATATAGTATAAAAGGAGGGTTGATTCTATCAATGTCTTGATCTTCATTATCCTTCTTGCTTAAGATGTTTGATTTTTCTATTACCAGTAAAAAATAGAAGCTGCTTATTTCAGAAATGGTTATGAACATTTCCTTAATACCAGTGAAATGTAATGCATGCTTTAACGAGCAAAATAGCTACTATCTGCCCAAAACATATATATTCATTGTGCAATCAGCAGTTTCATACATAAAATTAATACCTAAATGGTGCCAAGAGCATTAAAGTATGTAATCGTTATTATTTAAATGTGCTGAATGTATTTGAAACAGTTACATTTTTCTTGTACATATTTTCTTTTTGCTTTCATAATTTGCGTTTGAAGGCTTCCAGCAGTTAGGTTCCACAAGACTGCGGAGATATTCGCTGCTTTTTTAAATTTTACTTCTGTGTATGCTATTATTGTTAAATTCTAGGGACTGAAGAACTGATGTTGCTTCCATTAAAGTCAATGGGAGTTATGTTATTGATTTTTGTGGGGAGAGGAGGGTCTGCCCCTGAGCAGATGTCCTGCTGATATGTTTAGGGTCTGATCTTGCTTGCTGTACTGAGACAAAATTCCCATTTATGTCAGTGCTGAAGTAGGTTTGGTGTCTTAAAAGGACAGTTTATTTGAGGCTGCGGGAGCCATTGTTATTTCCTTCAGGAAAAGAAATGCATTTCTTAAACATAAGAGCTTTAGAAGCAGCATTAGGCAAGCCAGCAGGTCTCTTAACCCAGAGCTATCTCAGCCATTTCTGTACTAACGCATGACACGGGAGATGATAACTGCCACTCAGCCATGTCTTTTACTTATTTATTTATTTTACTCCAGCAGCTAGAAACTCTTATTGGCATCTAAAATCACTAATCTCTCCCCATTACCGTTTTTGCTAATTTACAGTGATAACTGTGGCTCTGTTTTCATTAGGAGATGAAAGCCGGGAAATTAAAAAACAAATTACAGGGATGAGAAGATTACTGAATGACAGCGCTGGAAGAATCTATCAGCGCGTTGGCAAAGAAGGAGAAAAACTGAAGGAAGAACCCCAGGATTTAGACTTAGCCTGGGCCCAGCGCCTGAACCCCCCTGCAGAGTCCCAGGCGAGCCTCCATCCTTCTCAGAGTGGTGCATGGAATGAATTATCACCCCAAACCAGCCATTTTTCAGGGCAGTATGGAACTCGGTCTAAAACCTTCCAAAATCAAACGAGAACCGTGGGATCCAATGGTACGATCGCTGTTAGTTACTCCACATGGCATTATTTTTTACTCTAGTAAATATCTACCTTTGTTCAGATAATTATAGTAATAGTGCATTAAAATTACTTATTGTTCATAGTTTACAAAATGAATGTATAGTTATCACTCTGAAAACCTGGGAGTGTGGGCATGGAGCGTTCTGCTCTTGCATTTCTGAGCCTTTAAAGTGGTCTCCTAATGACAGGGCATAATTGATAATATTCTGTTATATAGGTTTTATTTCTGTATTGATTAAATTGGGTCCTGCCATTGTTACTGAATTCATAGCTAGGTAAGGGCCAGATTCTGCCACTCCATATCATGCTTGATAGAACAGTAGAACCAACAGCAGAACTGCTTGCAGAGCAAGATCCTTCTTGGTGTAAGGATGCAGAATCTGGCTAGTAATCAGCTTAGGGTATAAGGTTCCAGTTTAACCTTAGGCATTTTTTTTATATGGGACTATTTAAAATAAGATACGATGGAATTCAGCAATGTTTAACATGTATGAAAACATGTAGCCCATCACCTTCCAGTGTAGTATTGTTCCTTACACTAGATGTTCAGTGCTTTTAAGTGTGTTTTCCTCCTAGTGCTATAGATGACCCAAGCAGTGGAGCTTTCATTTCCTTTCTTGGTAGACTCTTCCACAGTCTGTTCGAACTCTCTCAGAAAGCTTCCCTTCTCATTCAACCTGAATCTTGAAAAAGGTGCCTCAGTTGTGGGGGTTTTGTGTATCAACATTGTAAACATGAGCTTACATCCAAAAGAATTACCAGATATCTCTGGAGCCAACTGCAATTTATTATTAATTGCCATACAGTGATGTCTGCTGTGTCCTTATTTAAAGATGCACAAGAGTTGCATCTGTTATAAATGATGAAAAATGATTCTCTGAGCTGTACAAGAGGAATTACTTTCCGCACTGAAAAAGTGACAGTCTTCAGGTTTAGTCTTCTCAGGGCTTACCCTATCCCTATATAGGCAATGATTGGAACCAAATAAACTGGGAGCCCCAGAGGCTGATTGTGGCAGTGGGTCTCATTTTGTAGCTCTCTTAATTCAGTTTGTTTTAATATATTAAAGTGTGACAGATGTTGTTAACTCTACAGTGACTTATGGCTTGTCTACACTATGGAGCCTCTGCTACTGTAGCTATGACCGCATAGCTATGTCGGAGCCATCCCCTTGTGAAGACATGCTATGTCTTGACAAGATGGGTTTTTCTTCAACCATAGTTATGCAACCTCCCTGAATGACAAACAAAATGGACAAAAGCTCCTTCTATCAACATAGCTCTGTGCACACCAGGGGTTTTGTCAGCAAAGCTGCATCAGCCAAAGGAGTGCAATCTTTATGCCCCCCTAGCCAATGTAGTTATGCTGGCAAACTTTGTAGCGTAGACCTGGTCTTGTTGCTCATAAGCTTCATAGAAAGAGTATGTTTAAAAGAGGGATTTGAATGGGTGGAGGATGGACATGCAGCACAATGAGATGGACACGTATAGAAGAGAGTATGGAAAAAGGGGCAGAAAAGGAGAGGAGGAGGAGATGAAGAAAAAAGAAACACAGGAATTATTGCAAAGGAAGGAAGGGGGGAATATAAGGTTTGCAAATAAGAAGGACCTGACTGCATCCCCAAAATCCATAGGACCTTTGCTCAGATCTGGCTTCTATGTACCAATGCTGCAAGCTGGGCAGGATGGCACATGGGCATCTATGCTTGTTGAGTGCCCCATTAATTTCAGTAGAATCTGTGGACAGGGAACTGATGTAGCATCCCCATCCAGCATGAACATAAATAGTTCCCCGGAGGTCAGTGGTGCAATATCAATATTTTTGGTTTTTATTTCTCAGTGTTCTTTAGAGAATGTGAAAGTGGTGTCCCATTGGAATAGGTTTTTGGCTCTGCTGAGATTAATTTCAGTGGATTGCACTTGCATGCTTTTCAAGAATAAATTTGTTGTTGTAGAAATCTAACACCAATGTGATTTATTATCAGCAGATCCATTTGCAGGAAGAACTGTCTTGGAGTATCTGCTGATCATGCAAAGAGAGCGACCAAACGATGTATTTGTGTCTTCTGTATCAGTCATACAAGCCAGGATCAAATTCACATGCTGGCTTGCCTCCAAAGCAGAGGGAGATGGCTCTTTAAAGATCCTCCATAAAACTAAAAAGTCGCTCCCCTTTTTAAAATTAAAAATTGATTTATACTAAGTTGAGAAAGGTTTCTTTTGTCCTCTAAAAATGATAAAGATAGTGCCTAGAACAATGACTGAGAACATTCTCCATGATGTTTCTGACACTGGTGTAACCGATCAGAAGAGGGAGGATGGAAGTAAAATAAAAAATCTTTATGAATATGTATGAAGTCAGTAGAACCCTGCTTTGATTTGAAATATTGGTGGCCTCTTTTCCCATTTACAGTACATACGGTAGATTTACATGGGTAATTTCTATCAATGCTAATGGGGATTATAATGTAAATCCCTCATGCCTCAATGGGAAAATAGACCCTTTGGTTTTCAGTCAGGGGCCTCAATGCCTGCATGCCTTCATTAGGAATGCATTGTATTGTAACAGGGAAGATGAACAGGTATTTACTGACAGAATTTGATTTGTCAAAGTTTTTATATGCCATTCACCAGAATGTAGAATCTGAAAAAAATCTCTTTCAAATATTCTTATTTATTATTTGTTAAGCCCCAGCAACAACCTGGAAGCTGTACAAGAGACAAAATAAAGCCAGGCCTGTCCCAAAGAGCTTATTATTCAAGGAAGACAGACAGAGAGTAGGCAAGCAGCACTGAGGAAGCCCAGAGGGAGGGGTGAAAGGGATTTTTCATTGTTTTCTTTAATTGTAGTTATTCATATAACTGTCTTCTATTTTTGTTGGCATCCAAGACAGCTGCTTGCCTCACTAAAGGGCAGGTAGCTGTGCTGTTGCCACTGAATTTTTTCTTACAAAGCACATGAACATTTGGAAGTTGCCTTGAACCTAATCTACTGTAGAGAGGTCTAGTCTAAATGAATGCTCAGGTGAAGGGTATTGGCAGAACTAAGTTCAGGGACTCTGAGTAATCTGCCACAAGCCGACAAATAAAAATCTTCTCCAAGCATTCATTGTTTGTACAGCTCTAACAGCATGCTAAGCACTTTATGGACCACTGAGAACATAAAGGATGGTTTCTATCCCCATTCCCCTAAAACAACGCTCAGTCTGAATAGGCAGCAGACAAAGTATGTGACCAAGTTGGGCAAAGTCATCCTGAGTCACTAACTTGTTCTTGTTTTAATCTGAGATTGCCAGTGTGTTACAAAGCAAATGGAGCTGGTGCAGTAGTTTTTTTCTTAGTTCTCAGAAAGCCTGAAACAGGAGCCCTCAAAGATGGGACCTACCCTGTTTACCTCAATGCAGTGTTAACAGCAGATCCCTAAATATATTCATTTTAAATGTCAGGTTCTTTATATGTAAGACAGTCAACAGATATCACTAAGAAGGTCTGAGCAATCCTCTGTGAGCAACCTCTTTGCTTTACAAGTGAGTGGCTTCTGGAAGGATTGTGACCACTTTTTTCTTAAATCTGGTCTCTGGGGAACGTTGCCCAAAGCAGACAGTCGTAGGGTGGGCTCAATGCCTGATGGACCATATCAAGAAGGGAGTTGCATGGATTTGGAGACGCAGCGAGATTTGGGGAGCTCTTCCTATTGACACAATCTCAGGATGTGGTACAAACCAGAACTAGAAAGTTGTTAACATAGTGGAGGTGGAGTGAAAGGTGTCAGAGAAGAACCATAAAAATAATGGAGGATGTTGGAAACTAAGAGAAAACTGAATGAATTATATATGCTTTGGCTAAGCAACCATGAAAGCCAACATAGGTGTCTGCTAGTCAAGCTGGAGAACATAAGTGATGGTGCTCCCCCCAGGTCAGTCCACTTATGACACCAAAATGAGATGACTTGTATTTAGTTGTGGACAGCTTCAGAATGACTGTCCCTTTCCTTGCTTTGTTGAGCTGTAAAATAGCTACTGATTTAAATCCTCATCGTTGTCTTCAGCGTTAATTGCCTTTCAGGCAAGTACCACCACAGCAGGTTATATTCAGTTTATCTTTTGGAAGGTTTCTTTTGCAGCTTTAAGGAGCTGAAAGATGATTCTTTTAAAACAAACCTTAGATTCTGCTGCACGAGGTCCAGCCACCAGAGATCTGGACCTGCCCTCTGAGCTAAGCTGCTGGGTAGGAGATGTAAAGGCTGTGGAGGCTGAGATGGTACTAAGGATGGTGCAATAGGAAGCAACTAGGAGTAATGGGATTAAACTGCAGAAAGGAAAATTAGCATGACCCATTAGTATGGTGTTCTGGCCAGTGGTCTATTGGGCTGTTCCCTAATCTCCACAGAGGAGTTGTGAAAGTCCCATCTGAGACTTGGCACTAGAGAACATGCCACAGAAAATGACTGTGCTCTGGTAGAGCAGACTCTCCCAGCTCTCTTGCTGATGATTCTTTTCCTCCGTTGGTTCCTGTGTGTCTCTGAACTGAGGATCTTATTTTCACTCTCAGTTCTTCACTTCATAAAGCAACATGTGTAGCATTCAAGCAATTTTAGAAATCGGAGGCCCTCATTTAAGGCTTAATATAAACCTTTATTATACAGACAGCTACCCATTCTTTGTAAGGCTGTTCTAGGAGACGGGTTTTTTGTGCATGATAAAGTGAGTATGTTTATAATGAGGTTTGGTGCTATTGTTATCTGAGATGAACTAACCTGACAATAGAGAGCCCTGCTGTGAGAGTACATTGTATTCCCACTTCCATGCAGTCTTCACCAGCCCATGTAACATCATGTTCCCAACAGCATGTCAGCATTTACACTGGTAATTGGATAAAACCCGGTGGCCCCCTCCTCTCAAAAATGAATGTATTGAAAATTATTGGTTTGCTTTCGTTGGATTCAATTTTTTGATAGTGTATGTTGCTGTCTTCAAAATCCTGTTGAGATTTTTTTTTTTATTGTATCCTTCTTTTATTTTCTTTCTTTCTTAGGGGAAATTCCAGGGGTGAATTCATCAGTAGGACCAAACTGCTGCACTTGTAACTGTCAGTCAACCTTGCAGGCCATTCTCCAGGAGCTCAAGACCATGAGGAAGTTAATGCAGATTCAAGCAGGTACAATGATCAGCCTCTTGCACACTAAGTGTTAAATCAAGCCTAATGTCTTTAGGCAATGCTTGCATCTGGAAGAGTGATCCAGTGCTTGCTGGACTAGGCTGGGACTTGGAACACCAGTTTACAGTTCCCTGTTCTTTAGGCAAGTGACGTGGGATGAAATTTTCAGAAGGTGCTTTGGCAGAAGGCAGGGTAACTGAAACAGGGATGCATAAGCTTTCATGAGCAACAGGTTGCTTCATCAGACGCTATGAAAGGACATGCAGAAAGCAGGCTGTACAACAGGACTGATTTAATTACAAAAGACTGGGAAGGAAAGAGAGACAGTCATGCTGAGAGCTTACATCTGGTCAGAAAGGAGCTATCTGAGCATACCTGAGCAAGTTCCTTGTGTAGATTGATTGCAGTCCATTTCATTTAAAAAAAAAAATTGGGCAACTGTGGCATTGATGCCTACACAGTCAGATGGATTGCAGATTGGCTGAAGGGTCGT